ATTGCAGCTTAGACTATGTATATTTTTGGGATGATCTACCATAACTTAAGGTGCTGTTAAAGAGAATTTCCGTACGTATGTTACAGTGTTTATTTTTCTTCAAATGCAATAGAAAGGAGAAGGCTTTGAGTCAGTGTAAAATTGTAAATTCAAGTATGAAGGTGAGTTAGATGTGGAATTTCAGAACTGGACAGAGCTTCACATTGCAAATTACTAAGTTTTTGTCCTTGCTGAGGCAGGGTCTCAGGAAAGCGAAGTTTGGTATCTTCATGAAAGGCAACTTGTGCTACCAGGAGTCATCAGTGTCACTTGAGAATGCTCAGCAACCCAGATCAGTAGTAAGACATAAATTGGTTTGGGGAATTATTTCTGCTCTTTTCTTTATGTGCATGCACATCCACTCATTTCAGTGGTATTACTCTTGCCTCACAGAAATGTAAGCAAGAAGAACCACGCCAGGTCTCATCTTTGTGGAGACTTTAACTGTGGATGTAGCATAAATAATCAAGAATATTAGCGATATTTGTCATTGTTGCTGAGAAAATGGAGTCTTTTTTTTCCTTTGTTGAATTACAGGTGATAGCTGTAGCATTTGTGGGCTGATGATCAATTCTATCCTTAAAGGTTTTATTTTCCCCCTAGGCACTTTATCAAAAAAAAACAAAAAAAAAAACAAAAAAAAAAGCTATATGTGGAAAATTCTTGACGTTTGAGCAACTGAAACCCTGAATGAAAGTAAAGCAAATCTTGAAATGTGAAATCTCTGTTTACAAGTGAGAAAACAGCCAGCCTATGTGGCAAATGTGCATTGCTTTTCTCTCTGATAAATGAGCTGATATTCTGAAATGGAAGAAACACTTTTTAAAAATACTTTTTTTTTTTGCATGGATTTGAAGTATTATTATTTTCTTTTTAGTACTACAGTTATGTCTGAGTTTGACTTTAAGCTTCTTAATCCCTCACTTGGGTACTTATAGTTTTGTAGTTGTACTTTTTTACAGTACAACTGTAAAATTGTAGTTTTAATTAAAAAAATTAGTTGTCCCTAATTAAAAATAAGAAGCATTCTAGTTTACATCACTTTTGCCTTAATATTATCCAATGTGCTAAGGGTCTGTTTGTAGCAGTCTTTTTTCTTTACTATGATGTATTTTGAGAGGTCAGATGTAACGCAGCACCGCGGCTCGAGAAGCAGGTGCCTTTGGATCCATTCCTAAGAATTACAGGCACAAAATGTAAAGTGCTGGGTGAGCTTTCATATTTAAAAGGGTATAGACAAGATAAGCCTTGCACCATAGCAGGAGCTTAATTTCCCAGTGTTTATATGAATAAGAAAGATTAGCATGAGTTTTGGAAGCGCTAATATATAAGTAGGACAATTTTGGAGCATTTGTTTTATAAATGGGATAAAATGATGGTATGTTTTTGTTTCGCTTTTCTGGAATGAAAGAAGCTAAAAGCTACATTTTCTTAAAATTACAGTGTTTGGAGTTAATCAGAGAAATAAAGGAGGAGCTGATGCTTCCCCTATTGCTTGCAAATTGTAAATTGCAGTTTTTTGCAATCATGCTTATAGCTGGTGTGGGTTTGTGTGCATAATCAGCCACTTTTTGGATGCAAGCACTATTGTGCCGTTTTATTTATGGATCGGATGGGAAAGAGGTTGCGGGTGTCTCTTAGGAGTTCTGAATGCCACCAGGGACCCGACATTTGGGGGACAAGCTGGGAGGGCTGCACCTAGCCGTGGAAATTCGAGTTAAAGAGTGTTTAACCCTTTTTTTTCAATGAAAGGGTTTTTTTTTGTGACCGAAAACAATAGTCAGGAACTGGACTTATAGCATCATTCAGTTCTTCTTGATGGATCTCTTTGCAAATCAGTGTTATGAGTAGTGGTGGGTTTGGGAATGGGTTAACTTCTCACTGGTGCATGCAAAATACACAGTCCTTAGACTTGCTGCATAAGTAAACTTCGTTACCTGGGTCTTTTTTTTTTCCTCCTTCCAATGGGATTTATTATTTTAAGTGACTTTCATTAGATCAGGCCCCACAGTGGGTAATAGATCTGTGAGTGTTTGTGCCTTGCAGGATGACATGACTCCACGTGCCACAGCAAATGCTTTTCAGACAGGGTTAAAATTCTGCATCAGCTCTCTCAAAATCATAAAATTTTAAATAGGAAGGAAATAAACAGGTTGGTTAGGTTCTGTGCAGGAGGCCTTTAATTAAAAGATGTTTAAACCAATTCTCTCAACTGTCAGAGAATCGAATTTGTGAATTATGTTTGCTACAGTTGTTGGGTTTTTTTGGTGCCACGGTATTTAAGTTCTCTCTGTGCCGTAGGGGTAGCTCCTGATGGATTCAAACACAGCTGGCTGAGAACACGGCGAGTGATGGATGAACGATGTCTTTGTTAATGCCCCTGTATACATAAATGATGGGCCTTTCTTTATTTATTTATAAGATGTGTCCAATTACACATCTCAGAGCAAATGTCCACCGTTCAGGAAAGCACACAATATTGGCATTAAAAAGACAGTCCCTGAAACCAGTGATCTATGCGTTTTCCTCACTCTCAGGAGAGAGACTGAAATACTTTAAATTCAGCGAGTTCAGGTGGGTTGTTCTGGGACTTGCTCCTCATCTGTAATCAAGATTGGCCGAACCTTGACCAAGAAAACCCTTGTCCCTGCTCTGTGAGTGAGGTGCAGTCATCATCAGAAGGGAGGAGGATGAATGATTTCCCATTCATGTAACTTCAACACAGGCCTGTTTATTTATTTATTTATGTATTTTTACTGTGAATCTGTGTGTGTTCGTACTCTGGAATTGATGCATAGAAACTTCATAAGTTATTTTGTTTATTTTATCAAAGAGACACAATATACGGTTAGGTATGTGCTGGAATAATTCTTAGAATTTAGCTGAACAAGAATTAGTCAGGATTGAGATAGATACACTGATAATCAGATAGTTAAACATTTTTAGATTTAAGGTGAGATTCCCCTCTTGGTATATGTCTAACTCAGGTAAAAGTATGGTAAATGCATGCTTAGGGATGGTTACTATAGAATAATGAATGCACTGTAAAGTTATCCTTGCTTTTCTTGTAACAACTTATTTATTTAGCAGGATCCTAAGTTACAGTTATGGCATAAATATATGTAGACAAAACCTAAATCTTCTGATATAAAAGTGAGGAGAGGTTTCTGTAGCATCCAGCCAAAGGGTATAATAATCCCCAAGGAGGTACAATTTTCACCTTTGTAGCTGCTCATCATGTGGATAGCCTCAGGTAAGATGGGACTGGGTAACGTAGTCAGAATCACTGTGAAATTCAGAGTCAGCAGATGCTGTGGATGTCACCTTGGGGACCTGCTTTCGCCTGGCCCGTCCCCCATTTCCCAGTGCCAAAACGTCGCTGCCGAGAAGCAGTTGAGCGAAGGTGGGTTTGCCCTTTCCCCTGGGGTGGTCGGTGCTTGGCAGGACCGTCCTGCCCCACTCCCTGCAGTGCTAGCCCAGCACCTCATCCCGTCCTTTTCCAGGGGCTGCGGGAAGAGGCAAGCCTCGTTCTTTGGATCTAGTGAACACCGTCGCTTCCCGTTCTGCCCTGCTAGCTGATTGCCAGGGGTGGTGTTGTCTTGGGTACGTTGCTTCTGCAAGAATTTACATTTGCAACAAGATTTAGCAAGACACAATTGCAACTACCGGGTATTTAGACTTCAGTTTGTTTTTTGAGAACATGGCCTTACTCATTATTTTTTACTGGCTTCTGTGCTATTATGTTGTTGTGATAATCTTGGTAGGGATCTGTCACTCTGTGCTGGTATAATTGAAACTTGTTTTCCCTGAGGAATCACTCTGCTGTTTCTTTTGTTTGTTTATTGACATTGACAGAGATCCTAATGGCTTTTAAAACCCTGTTCGTGCATCACTGAATATCCTCCCAAGAAGAAAATAAAATTACGTTCATCAGCAAAACTAGGGTCCTCCGTGCAGTGCTTTGTTCAGATCTTGGACTTCACGGGAGCACCTCACTGTAGCTTTAGAAAGGGCATGGGGAAGGTTTGTGAGCTCCGTCTTCTCTTGGTTGCTATTTTGATCTTCAGGGCTTTTGTTCTTAAGACACTTAAAAAAAACACAGTTGACAACAACCTGCTTAAGGCCTCGATACAAGTTCAGCAACTTTTGCTTTGTGTGAAGTAAATTATCTTCATTTTTTTGCTAAAACTGGAGCTAAGATAACAAAACAATAACCATAGCGACGAAAAACACAGTTGACAACTAGCTGCTTAAGGCCTCGGTACAAGTTGAGCAACTTTCCTTTATGTGAAGTAAATTATCTTTATTTTTTTGCTAAAACTGGAGCCAAGATAACAAAACAATAACCATAGCGACCCCCTCCCTTGAAAGGCTTTAAGCCTGTAAAGAATTTTAGTGAGATCACCTGAGTTACTCATGTTTAAATACCTTGCTAACTTGTGGCTATGGATAGATGTATACCTTGTTCTCTGGTGTGCTGCAGAAGAGCACACACACGAAGAAATGACAGGACAGGGGACCAAAATTCAGGAATAGGGGGTGCAGGGCGAATTTCCTAAAGGAAGCAGCATAATTTATTTTTTAATACCTGTAAAGCTATGATTTGGCCTTGTGTGAAGATTCAGATAGTTTTTGAAATGACTTACACCATCTCTAATTACCTTTTAACACGTTTTCCTGTCATTGCCCAAATTTCGGTGAATCCTGACTGTGAACGTCATAAGGAGGTAATTTTGGAAAACACTGCTGATTTTAAAGGTTATCTGTCAGTTTGTATATATACAGCTGTGATGCAAACCAAGATAACCTCAAACAAGAGCTGTAGTGTGGTAACACTCTGCCTTTCCTACTGTATACCTCTTTGCAAATCTTCATGACTTTGATAGTGGCATAATAATAATAGAACGGCAATATTTCTATTTTGTCTTCTAACGAAGTGTTCTGATGTGCCTTGGAATGGTGGATAATTGGCTTTATCTTCACTTTTACAGTAGGGAAATTAGATGTGCAGGGAGAGAGAGATCCCAGACCATCTGACTCCTGCTTCCCAGTTCTCATTGCTTGGTTCAATAGTGCAAATCCTGGCAATAGGCACTTTCAGTCTGACCTGTGTCTTGTATTGCATTGCAGTGCCACAAACAAGGATTTTGGCTACCGGTGGTGCATCCCACAATAAAAAGATCCTGCAGGTAAGTACAAAATTAAATCAGCTGCATTAGGCTCAGTCTTCTCTGTAGTTTTATATTGATGTACTGAATCCAAAGCAGTGCAGCTGCATAGGAGAATATGGCTAGAGGATGGTGAGTCTGCTGCAGGTCTTTGGGGTTTTGCTGAGTTTTAGTGTGCAGAGCATTAGTCTAATGTTAATTTCATGTTGAATGTCCCCGTTTTTTACAGCTGACTACTTTTATGTGCATCTGAAACACTGGTGATTTCCAGGCCACATCACTTTTGTCAAGTCAATCAGCAAGCAAACTCAAGCAAAGACTTGATAATAAGATACATGGGATTTTTGTTGTTTTTGTCATTGAGATCAAATGAGACCACAGATTTAAATTGGAGAGGGGTTATGCTGATGCTGAAAACTGAAAAAAACCCATACTTGTCCTGCTGTAATCTGTTACTGATTAGTGTTAAAGCATGTGTTGGGTAGGAGGCTCTGCTTCTCTACCGTCCATCCCACCCTTCTCTGCTCTTGCATCCAGTTAAGATCCTCATGACAGAGGACCACATGCCCTCCATTTCTGCACGCTGGCCCCATCCTGAAGGTCCCTTACCTGTAAGGGAAGGCTACCCAGTTTCTGTGGCCTGTTTATTTGTCAGTGATGTTGCATTGCTTTTGAAAGTCATTGTCAGAAGAATCGCAATTGTATTTGAGGTGGGGGTATATGCCCACCAATGATTGATCTGAAAGATTTTTATATCCTAGTAAAGTGAACCACGTTCAGATTTTGCAAAGATTTACTGTCTGTGAGAGGCCGCTCACCAAGCTTTTGCCATCAGAGACATCTGAGATGGGCTTCATCTTGTATGAATTCACTTTTCTGTGGTATCTGTATGTGATCTTTCATTTATAATCCTACAGTAGTCAGTAGTGGTCTAGGAAATTATTGTGCAAATGAAGCTGAATGATGATCTACTGTATCAAGTGCAGATATCCTTCCTCAGTGAGTGGAGGAGCTTTCTAGACCCACTGACTGTATTGGCCACCTTTCCATTGGCTGTAGTGAGGCCTTAGACACTGAGCTTGAAGATATTTACATCAAAAGGTACCTATCTAAATTCTGGGCTGAATCCTCACATCGCTGTTGGTCAAGATACAGACAATTGCTTTCTGGAGATCTCAGTCCCTTTCCACCAGCTACAGAGGGAGTCTAGCGACCAATCCACATGCCATATTCCTTGGTGATGGAAGTTGTATGAATTGGAACTGTCTCTCCTTTGCGACCTCAGTTGCAGTGTATGGAGGTCAAAAAGCAAAGCAGCTGCCGATCCACACGCCATATTCCTTGGTGATTGGAGTTGTATGAATTGGAACTCGTCTCTCCTTTGAGACCTCAGCTGCAGTGTATGGAGGTCAAAAAGCAAAGGGCAGAAATCTCTGTTTCTCCAAAGCTGGTTAAAATGCCTGTTTATATCAGCTCTAGAGCTGCTTGGGACGGAACAAGTTTGACATATTTTGTCTGTAGATACCACTTTTCTCCATCTTCTTGGGTTACTTTGCTCAGTTTTCTTCACTTGCTTTTGGTTATTTTGCTTGGCATTGGAAAATTTAACGGATAGCTCTATTGATTAAAACATTGATCCCTATTGGAGCAGTTCCACTAAGAATATGTCATGAAAGAGATTAAATTAATAGATAGATGTATTTTTAAAGCTGTATATCCAGCTGAGGTGCTAGGAGGATTTCCCTGCTATGGAGCAAAGGCTGTTAACTGATTGCTTTTGTAACATGTAATTCTGAAACGTACAGACCTGAAGAGTTGTGGGAATGAGCAAGTGACTGCCCCAGTGCTTGCTGTTCAAGTGTAACAATAGAGCTGCTTTTAAAACTCATTAGAAGTGTCCTAAAATAATATGATCAATATAATGTCATCCACTTAATTCAATTGCTGGTTAATTGGATCCTCCTTTTTAATTTAATCAAAACCTCAGAAACGATATCAGTTGCATGAAAAGTAACAGTTTCCACCCCTTATCATGGTCAGTTTTGGATAATTTGTTTCAGAGCTACAAAAGACTATCATTTAATTAATCAACATTCTGTAACTCCTACATTTTACACAGCAAACGAAGCAACTTAGGAAAATCTGTTAAAAAATACAGCCATATTAAGACAGCTCTCCCCCTGGTCTAGGAAGCTTTGTAGAGCATATGTAGTGCTTGATTAAGGATCACATGAATCACGGTGAAATATTTTTGACATTAAAACCTCCAACAGTGGCTTTTAAAATTATTCATGAGAAAAATCACAGTTTCAAATGATTTAGTAAACACATGAACTTCAGAATAGTCTTAATTTGATAGTCATGTGATGCAAATGGTAGCTGTTATTTACTTGGAGTGTTCCAGTCCATATTAGCATTCAGGATACGCCGGTGCTGCGTTGTGTAAGGCTCTGCAGTGAGGCAAAACAAAAGACCTCTGTTGTCCAAAGGAATTGGCAATTCAAGTGTAAGATAAGAAACACCTAATAGAGATGAAGAAACGGATGGGGAATGTGGTGAGACAATACAGTATTATTGGCTGGCAGCATGAGCTGCGCAACCAGCACTCCACGACCTTCTCATTTCCAGAGGGCTTTTTAATAGATGCCGTGATTAATTTTCCATTTGTCCTCTAGCATTGAGGCTCGTATATTGCTCGATGCTTGCTTGCAAACAGAAGTTAGACAGTACTTCCTTGGCAATATTATCAGAGACGGTGTGTTAAATGTGTACACTCAGGCATTTGTTGGATTCTAATTAAAAACTAGCTGCTTAGTTCAAAATCATCTGAAAGATATTCAAACATTTTGTTGTGTAGCTTCCCAAAAATTTCAGATTGAGAGGCAAAATCCTTCTAAAATATCACACGTTGTGTTTTCTGTAGCATATATAAATTAAATTCCTTAGTCATCTTGTCTGAGGCTCTTTGGCCTGTCATCAGAGAGTATGCATCCCTGGATCAGGGTTGCAGGTTAGGATTCTTGGATGCTGTAACCTTGTTTTAGTCTCTCATTTACTGATGTGAATCAGGTGATGCACTATTGCCTTTGCTAAAAGTACTAAAACCAGGTTAAATCTGAATTGTTACCTACTTCTTTTGTCAGCTTGATGTGTACCAGCAGCCCTAGAGCTGATGAAACGAGAATCTCTAATTAATTGGAAATCAGTCTGTTGACAAAATCTTCAGCCTCCTGTGTTCCTAAACCTCCTATTTTCTTATCCAAATACACCTTCATTTTTCCCCTCCAGTATCTGTTTTCCTAAACCTACACTGCAGGGGAGAGTGCATATATTCATGAACAGGAGACGGCTGGTGTATGTCTCAATGCAGTGGGTGGTATGATGTGTGGTGGAATAAATTTAGTATCTGTTGGATATCAAAACAAATTCTTTGCCTGTAACTTTTTTTTTTTTATATATTGCTCAAGCTGAGATCAAGCAAACTTGAGATATCTTTTCAGCAAACGGTTTCTCAAATACAGGAAAGTCCCTAGTAGGTGTAGCCTGTGTGACCAGCCCCTGTGTTGTTCTTCGTGCTAACCCCAACCCAACGTGATGGGAATGCTGGAGACAGAGAATATAGGCTTAGCCAGTAGCCTTTAATACTGCTGTGACTTTTACTGTATGAAAACTGAGAATTAGGGAGCTGTGACTGATCCCTCTCTCCTTCCTTCCCACTTGGCTGAGCCATAAGAGTGATGAAAGAAGCTGTCACCACAGCCCATTGTGGGTTCCTCCACAGGAATCCTTACTGTGTTGTAAGTCTTTGGCGTGGGCTGCATGTCTGGGCTTAGGAGGGAGGGAATAGCTAAATTCAGAATCCTCTGAAGTTGTAATAACAGGATGGTACCCAGGAGATCCGGAGAGAAATGGGGCTTCATTTCCTGGCTGTCGTTACATCTGTGGGTCAGGTTTACCAATATTACTTAGTGTGCCAGGGTTGAGGACTTTTTGCCTTTGCTGCCTTTTTTGGTGCGTACCCAAATGCTTAGCTAGAGTGTACAATGATAGACGATTGCTTATGCCTTGTCTTTCATGGATGTGTGTAACTGATGCTTTGGTGCTTTGATGCTTTGATGCTTCTCAGGTCCTGGCTGACGTGTTCAACGCACCGGTGTACACCATCGATACCGCCAATTCTGCCTGTTTAGGAAGTGCTTACAGAGCAATTCATGGTAAGACTGTAAGCAGAAACTTCTGAGCAATCTGGGCGTTTAATTGCAGTTGGTTAATAATTGGGATTAATGGTACTGAACAAGAGGAGAGAATAGAGAGGAGTGGATCTGATCAAAAGGTCACTGAAGTCACAGGGAGGGTTTGCACGTGTATTGGTACTCTTGCATCAAGCCCAAGGATAACACTGAAGTTATTATTCAAATCTGGTGGTCCTTCTCAACTAAGGGTAGGATCTGGAAACTGCTCAGATGGGCAGGGGAGGGTCTAGGACCTTATCATGTTATGTTGGGGTCTCCAGGTACATTTTATGGGGAAGATTACAGCCAGCTGAGGGTGTCAACTTACCCCACCCGCCGCAGTCTGTGGACCACGATGTAAACCGGATCGCTGCAATGGTCAAACCAACCAAACAATAAATCCTGACAAAGAGAATTAGAGAAGACAGGGTAGACAAGTGTAGAAATAATGATGACTAAATAAATGTCATCAAACCTATATATATCCTAGAGCTTTTAAGCATCGAGATAAAGGATGTTCAAGCTGTATTGGACTCCTCATACTCAAGCTGTGTGCACTTTGTTTCATAAAAGCATAAATCTTGGGATATTCTTAGGTTGCCCGGTCATTTTGTTTTTATACGCCATCGCTCAGTGTAATGCAACAGTCCAAGTCCCAGATTTAAAGTGTTATTTAACTTACATCTATTAATGCATGCAGTTGTATGTTGAAGGTGAACTCTCAGCCATTTAATAGAGCTAAATTCCAGGCAGTACATTTTATTTGGGTATTTCAAAACAGTTTCTGTAATATCTTGCTGCCAAACAAGTTCAGGAATGAGGATCGCATCCTTTGTTAGGCCAACTTCGTTAGCTTCAGTTATCCTGAATAAAACCTTAGGATTTGGCCTTTTTAAAAATGAATAACTTCCATACAAGTTCATGTAACATCATGGTGCTGCAACAAGTACGAAAAAGATAACATCAGTCATGAGGAAAAATCAGCCAAGTTTTAATTTTAGAAGCAAATTCTTCTGTCACATTATAGCTTCTGAAGGCTGCTTGCTCTCCTGCATTTGAAAGTAGCCCGGAAAATTGCACAGCCAAGGCATTGAGTCAGTGTTTAACACACAGCACATGATCACCTCTTAATTTCCAGGAAAGATGCAAGGGCTCCATCAGGGAAAGTATGCTTTTGCAGTGCCCGTTAGATTCTTGGTCCATTTGCAGCCATGGTGAGAACATTTCTACACCTTGAGGACCTAATCTCCAAACTTGTTTTCTCTTTTTTATTCAAACTCTGCCAACTGCTTCAGAAGCCACCAGACCCTTTCCTGTTCATAATGCTACAGGCAAATTCCTTGTCCAGGAACCCACGAGACACGTGGAGCTTCCATTAAAATTTTGTTGTATTACTTCATATGGTAGGAAGATGTGAATTCTCTCTGCCAGTCTGGTATATGCTAAACCCTCAGGACTTGACTGACAGAGCCTGTGAGTGAAAACTTGGGCTGCCTGCGCTTCAAAATGGCATTTTTGATTGATGCCTTGAGCTGACTCACTCTTGACCAAGCAAAGGAACTGAGTTAAAGTGAAGACCTGCTAATATAAATGAAATATTGGTGGCAAGGATGCCTTAATAACATTACAGGGTATATCCACCAGTAGACTATTTCACAGTCAGCCTGGGGTTCTTGGCAGGAATAACAAGGAACTCCTGAAAGGGAAAGCAAAATGCTGGAGTAGTGGGATTCCTCTATTATTCTGCTTCCTTTTTTATATCAATATGTTTATTGATGATTTGTAACTTACTTGCTTGATGCTGTTTTTACCTTTTTTTTTTTTTTTTTTGGTTTGGTCACATTTTCTCCTTGAATCCCTTGCATATTTTTGCTGCTGTTTGTTGTTGTAGCCATAAATAATTACTGATATTGTTGAACAGCATTTCTGCTGCTTGCCTATTCTCTAGAGTCTGAACTGAGTGATTGGCAAAAACTCAATCTCAGAGCCCCCACTTCCCAGACTAGTGCACTGGAATGTAAGCTCTTTGGCCATTTATCCTTCAATCTTGAATGCTGACCTGACCAGAGACAATCAATATAATGTATTAATTTGCCAGGGAGTCCAGGCACATCCCTCATCTTGCTTTTTGCATTGATCAGGATTGTGATTCTCATTGCAGGGCTTGTGGCTGAGACTGGTGTGTCCTTGGCTGATGTTGTGAAATTAGCACCAGAACCCAGACTGGCTGTTACACCAACCACGGGGGCTGAGGAGGTGAGCAAGCTTGCAAACACCATTTGTCTTTTCCTTTCTTCTGCTTCAAAACACAGTGATTTACTATTTTTTCTATTTTTTTCCCTAACAAAAGAGGTTAACTTAAGAAACACTTTGTTAACTCAGTTCTTGATTCTTGGTGTAAAGATTGATATATATATTTTTTGAGATCTCTAATGTTGTAATTATAATATCTGAATATGTAATAATAATATCTGAATGAACATTCTATCTAGATCTGAGAGAGTGACTTTTCCTATTTGGATGTGATCAAAGAGACAAAATCTCTAAGAAACAGAGTAATTTACAAGATAGGTTGAATTTAGACACAGGTCTAACAACGTTGAAAAAAAATGTGGTGAGATTATTTTTCCCGTTTTGGAAAACAGCCTAAAAAGTCTTTTCCAGACTGATCTTAAACAATAGTCAGCTGCTGTACACCTTCACTCACAGCTCTTGGTTGGAACAGCTGGAAGAGTGTCAGCTAGGAAGACTGTATAGGTACAGTTCTTCTACCATGCCCATCCTGGAAATGTCAGCCTACCTGAAGGTGAAACTTGTGCTTTATAGGCCACATGGATAAAGCAAAACAATTATTTGTTGCAATTAGTCGTTATTGCTAACGACACGGTTCCAGGCCACGTAAAACCAAGGAGTGAATTTGTCTCAGGGCCTCCAGTGCAACCCTACATCTCTCATGGTCAAGTTCCAAAGGCTGCTGATATATACAGTGCGAGCTAATAAATTAGTAATATAATGTAGCAAGAATCCTAGCAAATGCAGACTTAAACAAACAAAGGTAAATCTAACTCCATCTTCAGCTGTGTAGAGAACTTCCTTCACATCAACACTCTGTGTATGAGAATTGGCTATGCCTTAACTGCAGACATCAAGGTTTTAAAGCTTTTATTTAAACTGGGAAATTAATGATCTGCCAAAACTACTAACTCCGAGCTACATGTGTAGTGGAGCACCAGATATCATCATGAGTAATAACAGAAATGATCATGCTGCATTGTGCCTGCCAGCATATTATTTAATTATTAACTGAGATAGAGGAGCTCAGTAATCGAATAGAAGTCCCCTTCAGAAATATTAAGACATTGAATAATTTAAACGTGATTGATCTGATCTCATTTACTCAACCTTCCCCCCTCATTTTAAAAGATAAAATAATTAGCAGCCGTGGCCTGTGCCGCGCGCTGCCGCTGAGGCCTGCTGTGGGGAACACGCTCTGGGAGCAGGTCCCTGGCGTCTCCTTCGAGCCCGCTGTTCCCCCCAGAAGCTGCTGGTGGCTGGAGAGCAGACAGGCTGCTCGTGTGGAGGTGGCAGGGACCCCAAGAGCCTCCTTGGAGCCCCAGGGCTGCTTCAGCTCTCAAACCCAAGGCCGAGGGGCAGAGTTGCACTCGCCAAGGCCAGCGGGAGCAGCAAGCACCTCGCAGCCCCGCAGAAACCAGGCTGGGCTACCTGGAGAGACCCGTGAGGAATTTGTTTACCTCTGCCTGTTTTACTGCCTGCATAAGACGGCCTGGACGCTAGAACAGTTAATTATTTCCTTCTCGATACCTTTCTTCTCTTTTTCCACTTGGTTGGACCTAGCTCTCATAGCCCATCCTTTTATAGGTTTTAAATGATGTACAGCAGTGAGTTATTGCCCCAATAGATACGAGTGAATGATAGAGAAGATAGTGGCCAAACAGCATGTGAAGGAATAACCATTCCTGTTCTTTAGCTTAGCTTGCCAGCTTCATTCCATTAAAAGCAGCTTCTTGTAGTTACAAATTCCACACTATTTTTTTTTTCTTTCTGTCTTATAATTTTACAGTTGATGGTGGATTCCCTGGCTAGTTTCATGGCTGTGAAACTGTATAAAGCCAGAGGGCTTGTCAGTAATACAGTGTGTTAGCATGAACAGCGCAGTAAAAATTCATAATGTGATGAGTCAGTTTGATTCTGTTTTTTACAGGGCTGCATCTCCCTGTCCATCCAATTTCATTCTGTTGAGTTTAGAGGCTTTCACTTAAATGACGGTTCTTTTTATAAACTTCAAAGTCATCCTGAGGTTAAGTTCTGTCTCGCTGAGGAGCTCTTCTGAGAAAGTCTTGCTAACCAATGTGAAGTTGCCTGGACCATCTCCCTGCATATTTTGGACTGCTAGAGCTAAAACGTGGCATGGTGTTAAAAACAAAACAAAATCAAAACCCAAGAACAAGTCACAGCTCAGCAATCTGTTCTGTTTTGGTCTTTTTTTCTTGATACAGGTTGGAGGCAACACGTACTAGATCACTGGAGGGAGGAAAACCTCCTACGGATAGAGGTTAAACACTACAGTTTGTAGCTTCAGCTCAAATGCCAAGGTTTATGCACTCAGAACTTTTCAGGAACCAAAAATACACTTTTACTCATGAATTTCTTTCATTGCTAAAGGGATATTTTTGATGCTGAGGGTGAATTTGAGAGTGAAGGGCAGAGCACACAAAACAACTTTTCCAGTTATGATTTAGTGCCACTTCTTGTGTTCAATTAAGCTTATGAGCAGGTGAAGTAAGGTAAAATCACAAGATGGGAGGCATAGTGCTTGTGACTCACAGTGGTGAGTTAGTGCAACCTGAAGTCCTGTTAGTTGCAACTTGTCTGGTAAAAATGTGCCCTTATGCTGTAGCAGGCCGTGCTGACTGGAAGAGGCCATTTCAAAGAGGATAAATCGCTTTCTGTGGCTAAAACTCCAACCTCTTAGTTAATCCTCTTTTCACAGTAAATTTGTAGGATAGGTGTTTCACACAACTTGAGCTTATTTCTAATGCAGTAAGTACTGAAATAGGTCACAAGGTATTGTGGTGATAACCACTGTGGGGATCATCTTGGGTCACTGCTCAACGCTAGGAAAAGTCAGTCAGCAACAGGTGAACCTGATGAATTCCTCTCCCCCATTTTCAGAGTAGCAAAAATTAGAGAGTGTTCTCATCCTCTTCGGAGCTCTCTCCTACTTCCTACTTCTTCCTCAAGGGAAAAAGTTTAATCAGAACCACTAAGCATGACAGAAATAACCAGGGCACTTTATAGCAATAAGTATATGTTGACAAACAGTAGGAATCTATTATTATGGCATTAGAATTCAACTCTATTTTAGTAATCTATTAAAACAAAAATGGTTGGATTGTTGGTTAATTAAGCACAAAAGCATGAGAGGGAGCATGTTGTCTGGAGTTGATCGCTTGTGTTTATACAAGCCGTGTGCCTGTGTCATAGTGTCAGATTTATTGTAATATTGTTGTGTAGAGTTTGGTAGGGAGAAGATGGAGTGCAGTTTGCTACCTCTGGATATATAATTTTTAATTGCATTATTGACTCTACTGAGATGTATTAATCCTGCAAAAATTCAAGTAAGGAAAATGTAGGCCAGACAGGTTTCCTTGACTTTGGTGAATTGTCTTGTAATATGTGGATTTATAGAAGTGACCCTGTTACCCAGGAAAGTTATAATGACCTTTCTATTGATTAAAAAAAGTGACATTTTTGTTGAGGTAGATATTTAGAGGGGGGAGGTTGTCTTCTAGAATTGGTTAGGTTGGTAATTTAGTGCAAAGCAGGTAATAATACAAGCATAGAGATATGATAATAAGTATTGATGGGAGTTTGATTAAAGTGGTTTGTGTAGCCAATAAGAATTTATTTTAACCTATTAAATGGATTAAGATATGCTTGCAGAATGAATATGTAAAGTCAATAAAGTGCTTGTTTGAGGTGTGGTTCCTTAAAGTTTTGTTCAGTTTATTTCTGGATACTGTCACTCTCCTTCTGCATTAAGCATGTTCTTTATATATTAAGCAAGATGAACTGCTGTTTTGAGGTTAAAAATAAAGCATCTTAATTTGACCTCTTGATTTCTTAAGCAAATCTCTGACTGGGAAGTAATTTGAGTGTGACCAGTAAAAAAAAAAAAAAAAAAACAACAAACCAAACCATTTGCAACCTATTCAAAGTAGCAAGTATTTGCTAGGACCTGATTAAGTTTAGCCTGCTTTGACAATCTTCAGTGTCATCTTTTTCATTTGTAAAATTCGAATTGTTTCAGTCACTGGCTAACGTAGCCTAGCAGGCGATAGAAGGATCCATGTGTATTATAACTTAAGAGTAGTAGTAATTTGTGGCTAGTTTTCCTTGCAGAGAACAGCAAGGGCAATGTCCCACTGCTCTAGACATTGTAGAAAGAGAGACCCTTGTTGAGCTCATAGGCTGGTATCAGGGTGAGCTGTAACAGGAGGGTGACTTACTTGATTTGGAGTTGAGGGCAAGGTAACATTTATTTGAATGTATTTTCCAAGAAAGGCAGTTAAGTTTTCCCCTGTTACACTGCATTGTTTGTCATTATCATTTTCTTATTTATTTGTAGGACTGTCAGAGTGTGGCCAAATTGTCCCAGGAGTGAAGTTTGGGGTTTATAAATGAAGCCATCATGTTGCAGAGTAGGCTGTTGAGATAAGCAGGAGAACAGGCCATAATATAGCAAGGACAATTAAATTATGGACAATAATAAGGTTCATGTTGTGATACATGTAATTACTTATGTTAAATATCATGGTCTGATATATTAGGTTTGAGGCTATGACAGGGAAGGAATTTATGTTCTTGAGTTTTTATGCATCACTGAGAGTTCTTTATTCCCTTTGGACCTCAATTATAAAAATAAATCTATATAATTGCCTCAGGAAAAATGCTCCTGGAGCCACTTAGGATGAGTTGTCCAAGGTTCTGTAAACTCAATTCATCGAGAAAAGCAGAGAATAATCGTTCACAAATGCAACTGGGTGGGAGCACTTAGGCTGCCTCCTCAGCTGAACCAGGCTGGCTTTTTTTCCTGGATATTTCATGGGAACTACACTTCCTTGGAGCAGGACTTTAACTGGTGTAAAGCTGCCCTATAAAACACTCCTTATGAAAAGCTTATACTAGCACTGCACTTAGCAGGCATGATGTACTGTGAGAATCATAGCCAACTTTGCTAATGAAGAGGAATTTAAAACTTTGTGTTAACCTCTGACCTGGGCTGCTTTTTACCTCGAATGAGCAGAGAGAGAGAAAAAAAAACAATAAATAAAAAGAACTACAAGAAACAGTCTTGAGTTTTTGTTTGTGTGCTTTCAGACAGGACATAATGCAGCATTCATTTAAACTAATGGCTAGGGAGCTTATTGCAAATGCCTGAATTTTGTCAATTAGCAAGCTAAGTGCTTAAGCCCAATAAACAAGAGAAGACAGTGAATCAGTAAATGTAGTTGTTCATTTATTTTGACATGTTTTTATTTAGAGTGATGTATTAACGATAATACTTATCAGCCTTCTAGTAAATGTGCTGTTGTATATTTTGTGAGAAATACTGCTGGGTAAGTAATGCTAAGTCTGTTTTCTCAGTAGCCAAGCTTGGCTCTTACTGGTACAGCTCTGTTGTGCTAAATCTTTGTTGAGAAGTACGTGGCATTTATCAGATTTGCACAACAGCAAAGAAAGAAATAGCAAGGCTTGATTGTAGGTGTTTCAATGAATAAAGGACCGTTTTTGCTTGACTTGCTGGTAAACCTAGTTTAGCCATAATTGTCTAGCTCTGTATTTTGTTTATTCAGATGTGCAAATCCAGGAGAAATGGGAGCAATAACATTCTCTGTGGACATGAAAAGAATATGCACGTACTCCACAGGGAGCCAGGGCACTTGGCTTCAGTGAACACCCCATGTAGTTGGTTAGGGAAGGCGTGCTGCATCTCGTGGCATTTAGTACTGGTAGCTCTGTAAATCTGTGACAGCCCTCGTGGATCTTGCTATCATTGCCTAGTACAGAAGAGAAGTTGGGGCATACACACATTATATGACTTGGCCAGGGTCATTGAATTAGTCTGTTGCAGAGGTAGGAGTGAGCAGGTTTCTCTATTTTAATCAATTTAAGTTTGGTTCACTGTAAGATACTTTGTTAATCACTGAGAGGTGTTGAAAAAGCCCTCCAGACAGGGCCTTGCCTAGTGAGCGTTCTCTGTTTCCATCTTCTGTAGATGTGCCTTCTCTTCTTCCCCTTGGGATACTTAATCTGTTGAAGAAATATACTGCTGTAGCATCGTGCTGACGAAAGGGAGGGGTTGATCAAAACAAGCTCCTTCTGCAGAATGTAATATCCCTTAAGTCACTCTCACCTGCCATCAGGGATGGTGGAAATGGAAACAGAGATAAATCCAGGTTTGCCATTCAGGCTGAAGCTAGCATTCGTGAAGAAGGAAACACAGAGACTGGGTATTTTGTTGTCAATCGAAACACAAGAACAAATTATTTTAATTTTCTTATTTCCTAGATGAGCAAATTGTGCCAACACTGGACATTTTTTCTTTCCTCTGAGAAAATGTGGCTATTGTAGACACTGAGCCTTCTGGAGGACTGTACGTGAGTGTCCAGAATGGCACTGCCTCTTTTAAGATGGTTCTCACTTGAAATATCTTCATCCTGAGTTTTTCATGTGCACGCAGCTATTGGCAGAGGGTTTCTATTTGGAAAATGATAAAATGCATTTAAATGCTGGATCTTACTTATTGATGAAAGCAATAACTCAGTTTCCTGGCGATGATTCATTACGGCTCCATAACCTCTTTGAACCTGGAGCCAGGAGCGAGACTGCCCTGATTATGAATAACGCTGGTGCACGGGGCTTGTAGACTGGACTGGCGGCCCGTAGGATTCATGGCAGCAGGGATGTGACCTGACGCCGTCCTCCTGGGGACGCCTGGCTCTGGGCTGTATCTCACAGCCCCCACGCTGGCTCCTGACTGTCCCCTCCCCAGGGCAGCAAGTGGGCGAAGCTGCTCTGCTGTGTCTTGTCAAGCTGCTGATTTTATTAGGTGGTGAGAAGGAGATAAGGAAGGGGCTGCGTCTTCCACATCTAAATGAAGTGTAGTTTTCGTGTTCGAGCCTGCAGTAGGGCGAGTCTCTGCTCAGGATTTCTGCTGAGCAGCAGCCAACCTTCTGCGGTATCGCTGGAGCTGAATTCGAACCAAGAAAAGGACAAAAGAAAAAGAAAAAGAAAAGGAAAGAAAAAGGTAACAAATTAAACGATTTGACAATTCCCAGCTTGGAGCTTGCCGATATCCAAAAACATGGGGCATATTTGAACCTGGAGTTTTGAATAGATTTGATTCCACCTCTTATGTTAGTAACAAGTATGGATCAAAAAATACAGGGAAATTCTAGCTGCAGGGTAAGGAAATATGAGAAAGTTACTCATATTTTCAGAAGTGGAAAGAAGTTGGCTGCTTCTTTGCATCCCAAGGCTAAGGTTATGGAGTAAGGAGACAGGCTGTGGAGCAGATCAAAGATAGGAGAACTCGTGTCTGTGAAAGACACAAAGGTGAGAAGAAGCCCCTGAAATGGGCACAAAAAGACGAGATGGGTGGCAGTTGAAGTGTGTATTTTAGAAGTCTTTGGTCAGCATATTGGCCAAGGAGGACGTTTTTGACAGGGTTTTTTAGCCATGCTGGAGGGTGGCAGTTTGCTTATGAGCGCAGCAGAGGAGGAGGGTGCAGAGGCAGTGACCCATCTGGAGACAGCAAAGGGAGGCAAGGACAGGAGTTCTGCCTGGGTGGTTTGGACAGCTATTACAGAGGGGCATGTCAGACCTGCCGAGGTGACTTTATCAGAGCTGCTTCCTCTGCAAGTAATGACTTCTGCTTATAGCAAGAACACAGTCACAACAGGAACAACCTGCGTGTGTCATAAAATTAAGTTGTAAAGGAGATGGTAAAAAGGACCGTGACATTTGAGGAAGGAAGGCTCTGTGGCATTTTCTTGAGGAATCACAGAGTCACAGAATGGCTGAGGTTGGAAGGCACCTCCAGAGATCATCTAGTCCAACCTCCTGCTCCAGCAGGGACACCCAGAGCATGTGGCACAGGGTGGCATCCAGGTGGGTTTTGAGGATCTCCAGAGAAGGAGATTCCATGTTGCATACTCCAACTGTGAAGATGTTTTTACCTACTGTATCATTTAAAAATACAGTTTTTGAGGCTGGACATGTTTGTTTCTTTTTCTCTTTTAGCTCTACCATCCACTTCTGAAGAGATATGCAGAGCTTGAACAGAAGGTGATCTACAATCCAATCTCTTCTTTTCTGGCAAAGTAACAAGCAAACAAAATTTATAAGTTGGCTGAAGAGTGGACTGCCAAGGAGAAGTTCAGAAGAGATTTGTTCAGAATTTACTGGAGATTTTAAAGCATTCTGTTGCAATTTGTGTCTTAAAATAATATTAGGAATAATTTTTAAATGTGTTTTTGAGGATGTTGGAGGAAAAGTTACGTTGAGATTGAAAATCTGATTAAATAGCATCACATTGTTCTGTGTGTCTTTGTCCTAAACTTTTCTTGGGTACTTTTCAGGTTGTGTTTGCTGTTTCAGAATAGCTCGAGTCAGGTGCATCGAATACCTGAATTGCTATACCTCTTCCTCACAGTTTCAATTCCATGTGTTTATCACACTATTTAGTACAGTATCTTTATTCTGCAGTCTCTCCCACACAATTCTTTTGAAGCTATCTTTCTGCATGTCTCTATCTACATTTTTATCCTTACCAACATAAAATCCACAAAAAGCCTAAGAATTCTGACTTAATCCCATCCCATCAGAGATGCGTGGTGTAAAACCCAATTACAATTTTTAATTTTTCAGTGGAACTGTTGAAGAATGGGAGTTCTTGTTAGAAGCCATTGTGGAAAATCTGTCGTATGATGAAACATGATGTGGTTGGATTGTTTAGGTCCAGAAAAGCAGCTGTCCTTGTAGGTAGATTGGATTTGTCCTGTGTGATATAGAAACTGTGGTACAATATTTTACTTGACATTAATTTCTTTTAAAAAAGAAGGGACAAATGCAGAAAATGTTAGCAGTGTTTCCCTTCTATAGCAGGAGCAGAGAGTCAGCTCTAAGTGCACACAGGCTTAGGCTAATAGTGTTTTTCTTTCTTCCTTCAGGTGTTATGGCCATGAAATTCTTTGTTTCATGCTGAGTGCATTTATGCTGTCAATATGACATTTCTTTCTTGGAGATCATGAGCAATATTGGTGACTGCCTTGCTCCGATGCTACTCTTCCACTTCAAATGTTTTTAGTCCAGGTTAAGTAGATGTAGCTGAGACAATCTTAGATAAAATACAATCCAGGGGATCATGCAGCAGAGATGAGCAGGAATCACAGAATTTGAATAAACATCCCAAATCAACCTGCACAAGCGGGAACTCTTTATTGTGCTGTTGTACAGTTATGGTGCTTTTCCCTCAGGATAAAAATTGTGGGAGTAAAGCTGTTTCTTTTTTTAAATGAAAGTGGCTGGAGGCTTCCCAAGACATTTCCTGGAAAATGTCTTGGGAAGAAGTCAGGGAATTGCAGGAAACGAGTAGAGGATCCCTCTACTTGAGTGTTTGAGCTCTGCCTTGCAGAGCTGGGCTATGTCCCTATCGAGGTGGGTGCCTCAAATTTGTTTTCTTCATGCTAGAGTGTCCTGGGAGCCCTCGCAGGCACTGGTGCATCTCCGGTGAGGTTGGGAAGTCCTTGCAGAGACTCATCCAAGGAGCGTGAGGGATGGGGCACCTTCCTCCTTTGCTCTCCCTCTTGCACTGAAGTGCTTCCCTTGTGAGTATGAACGGTGCCTTTTTTGTTCACAACCAAGTAATTATAACTTCTCGTGATACTAGCAAGATTACTCAGCAAGGTCAAGCATTACGCTTCCCAGTTTCTAAAGCAGGCTTCTTTTAAGCAATTGCTTTAAAAGGTGGTATTATAAATACACATTTATCTCTTTTATGTGCTTATTATTCCAAGTCCCAAGGTGCAGTCCTGAAACGTATAACACTTCTTGCAGGCCTCTGCCTTCAGCAGTCATTTTGTCATTGAACAAGCCTAGAGAGAGGTGCAGAGGAATTAAAACAAATACAGATTAAGCCATTCAAAGCAGCACTGGCATCACTGGTCTTTGGCTCTATCTGGTTACTAGTTTGACATCACGGTCACAAAAGAATGGGGTTGAGAGACATTTTAGGTGCACTGAGTTTTGGTGACAATTTCCTGAGTAGTTTGATTGGGTTGTTAGAAGGAGGGGACCGATGTTTCACACAGCTTTGTGGCTTATTTATTTGCCTGTGAAAGAGGAGAATCACGGTTAAACCCTTACTCAGCTTTAGAAGCTTGAAGCTCATGTTTCCCTGCTTATAGGGCAGTGGAGTTAACCACAGGGACGTTTTTTGTTAGCCAGGACATTTCTAGGTAGATCACTGGCTCCAGATGGAGTATTGGGGTTGTCCCTGGGGAAGTGCTCCAAATGGGATAGCTGATTTTGAGGACCAAATGCTCATGGCTGTGCAAGGCTGCGTTGCCTGCTGGCTGTAACCATCCATTTCCTGCCCTGTTGCACCACATTGGGAAGGCTCAGGGCTTTTTGAGCTGTGCCTTGGCTGTGTGGTGTAGCTGTGTCCCGTGTTGGCATTCAAATGCTGTTTCCTGGGGGTAAGTGATGCACTGAATGCCTGGTGCAGGAGTCCCTGAGAAAGAAGTCAGAGGCAAGGCTATGAAAGGCCAGGAGTTGAGCACCACTGAGTTATAGTATTGCTGTGGTGATGGGTTTATTAGGGCTGGCCTCTGAGGAACGGTGTCTGGAGTATAAGAATTTATAGACAAGCTCTTTTTTCTTTTCTTTTTTTCCAGCTCACCAAAGTTGCACATGTTCACTGACTAATGTCAAATAGAATAAGACTCAATAAATCTTCCCTTAGAAAAGTCTTTTGGAGAAATAATCCTTCCACCACTCTTTTCTTTTTGCCTTTCCCAGGAATGCACATTGGCCTGCAAAGGAACTGCAGGGTTCTTGCATCCCTCCAAAAAGGCCCCCATTGAAGGAAGGATCTGATGCCCTTTACTTCCCAAACTGTGCTTGTTTTCTTGCCAGCTTATGCTGTTCTGGTGTCTTCTTGAACAGCCCTGGTTGTAAAAAAAGAGGTGGTTATAGTTAATTAATGTATTTGCTAACGCATAGCTAACACCTTCTACCTCAACATACGTGATTGAGGTTGATTTCCCCTCAACTTGGGTGACTTTGCCATTCTTTAAACTGAAAAAAACTGAAAAACGTGGTATTGCTTTCTAGCTTGCAAGGAGGAAGGAAGTTGTTCATTTCTTCCTCCCCTGCACCAATGTCCTCCACCAGCAAAGGTGGCCACGGTTCTGTGCAGATTGTGGCCGAATCCAGGCAGATCCCCTGCCCCAAGGGCCCTCGTCAGAGCTGCCCTGGGTTCATCCCCAAGCTCTTGAACCGTAACTCAGGGAAAAACCATTTTCTCTGCAGCCTGAAGTCCTTTGCAAGGCAACTGGAAATGAGCAGGAAAAGATGTTTGCTATTTCTTAAGGGACCAGTTCAGAGAGCTGGAGCTCTGATTGAATAAGTAATGTGCTGAAAAAAGCACTCTGCTCTCTCTGTGATTTAATAAGTAATTGAATTCAATACCACTGGGTGTGATCCCGGTGGGACCTTTTTGTTTTTCAGCTTTCTTTTCCTTTGGACTTTTGGCTAGCGCTGCAGATCACAGAGCAGTACATGGAAGGACGTGTATCTAGAGCCACAAAAAAACCCAGAGCAAAGCTTTCAGCAAATCATTTGTTTTACTGTGTCACGTGCAGGTTGGGAGGTGGGAGAAGAAAAGCACAACGTTTCTGAGAACTAAACTGGCTGGTGTTGGTACTTGTAGCAAGCAGGGAGCCAAATCAAAACCGCTGCCTGGACAGAAGGTGCTAATTTGGACTTTTTCTTTACCCATCTGCTATTTTTTTCATCTAACTTTTAGCATTTAGACTGTGTTGACATCTCAACGCTCACCCATTGGAGTGAAATGGCAAACAAGTTGCACGTGGGAGTAAAGACGATGAGCAGACAGATGGACATTGAGGCAGATAAACGATTCTGTGCAGAGTACTTCCTTAAAAAGCCTTTCTAAAGAGCTACTGGCCTGCAGCCCTGATTCCACCTGGCTTGTTGAAATCTTAGCACAGGGTTTCACACTTAACCTGTGTTGTGTGTGAAACCTTCCCCACGCCAAGGGATCATACCTTGTTATTACTCTCTGCTGGCTTTGTGCAGGTCAGTGTGACGTGCCAGGCAGCAGAGCTCAGGATGATTTTGTTGTTGTTGTTGGTAGTCGCTTCCTTCTGAAATGTGTGAACGTGTCTCCTTTGACATGGGTATCTACAGTGGTTACAGTCTCTGCTCTCTCTCCATGCTGTGATTACAGCCTAAAATAAGCCTCTTTGGTTAGCCTGTTTGACTGGTCTAGCTTCAAGTCATCAAAGCTTGCATTGCAAGAATATAAGATTTTTAGATTTTTTTCTTTTTCCCAAAGAACCAGTTTCTAGTTTCTCTCTCCTGCAGCAGATATGACTTTTCTTGTACTTGGTTTGCTTGCTTAGCTGTTTCCACTTCTCCAGGATGCTAAGAACTTCTCTTTTGTGATACTGTTGAGGGAACTTCTCTCCTGCAGAAATCCATTCCCAAGAACCATTCTCCTTTACTTGTTTTCCTGCTTCTCTGTTGCTTCCTAAGGTTGGCCTTGACAAATGGAACAATGTTTCAGCAGTTATCCTGGACTTCTGGGAATATTTTGGCCCTCGCAGGAACTTGCACTCCTGGAGCAGATATCCTGGGGGGTCAGGGCAAGGGAGTGGATATCCTGAGGCATCTAGGAATCATTAGGTATCATTCTGCTATCATCACTGATTTTGGTCTTTGACTAAATTGCTTAATTTAGCAAATTAAATTGCTTATCCTACCCAGTGGAGTAACTGGGGATATTGTTAATTATGTAACACGTGTTTTCCTTAAAGATGCTTGGATGGCAGGCTCTTGTGCTGCATTCTATGTTAAGATGCTGCTATTAATTCGGTTTTTACTGGCTGAGTGGCATCTTAGTATTCTGCAGTGCATCCATCTGGTTGTCCTTCCCCCTTTACTGTCTGATCAGCCCAACAGAAGGCTGTAGTCACCTTAGGTGGGGGATTCATCTGACCAGTGTAAACATCTGTGTGTGTCAGATGGGCTCCTGTTATCATCAAAGGGGAGGACCACAAGGGAGCGGTGGTGTTGGCTGTCACTCTTCGTGTGGTAACTGGCTGCCGCAGCAGAGTGAAGAAGGGGTCAGCAGAAGCCAACTTTTCACGATGTGCTAAGACTGCCCAAGACTTGACTGAAAGCTGTTCTTAACTTTGATTTGTCCCCAGTTACCGCTGGAAAGCCTCCTTGTTCCAGAACGGCTCTATTTTCCTGTCCAGTCCATGAGATCGACTCCCCGAGTGCTTCA